CATGAAACAGCCTTTTCTTACAGTTTTAATGAGTTAAAATTGGGATTTCTGGATCTGCTCCCAGGCTGACAAGAGAGGTGAACTTAAAAGGATGAGAGTTAGCTTTCCAATGGACTTCTCTTACCTCTTGTATGTCTAGAAAGAAGGTTGCATTATATTGCAGATGAAGGAACTAGGACAGGCTCCTGCTTGTATTAGCTTGGAAGTGAAGACCAAATCTCCAAGGATTAGAATACTCAGAAGACACAGCAGACATGGCAGAAATAAAAAGGAAATGTTCCTCTACCCAACTCATACCTCAACTATGAAACTGTCACAGGACTGAGAGGTCAAAACTATAAATATGAAAGGAGAAAAAATAAAGATGAGTCAGATGGGTCAGAGTTAATGCTATTAAAAATCCCTGTTTATTAGGACAGCAAAAATACACATTCTGTGGTTTGCAGAAGAGTGAAGGTAAATAAGGACAAAATTATCTGCTCAGTTAAACTGTATACTCCCTTCCCAAATTTTAGTCCTAATTAGAGGCAAAGTCCTTTATTTCTTATTTTGTACTGTTTGCTTCATTTTAAATGATGATCTGTTCCATCCTAAAGCTTCACTGACAAGAAACATATTGCCCCTATTTATCATCTGAAACTCCAGGGACAGTAACTGCGTGTGTGATTGCTGGACAGTGTGAGCTGGTGGAGATTTCTGGGCTCCCAGGATGGAAAACATCCTAGACACATTCCTGGAATATGCAAACTTTGGATTCAACATGTGCTCTCTTATGCCTGAATGGCTACAGAAATTTCAGGGCAACAGAAAATTCGTCCTCTCCAATGCTTTTAACCTTCCAGGAGGTGGCTGATAGCATTCCTCTGCTTTGGCACTGGGTTATCCATCACAAACAGCTGCTTCTCCATGGATCTGAGGCATGGGGTGGCTCAGCTAACAGAGACCTGTGTCAGTCACATGAGTGTTGGGATCTGTGAGGAAAGGCAAAGAATTACTTCACTGTCCTGCATTTTCACAGCTCGGGGTGTAGAAGTGCTGCAACTGCTCTTGAAGTTCCTTCCTCTGCCATGAAAAGCCAAAGGCCAACCCCTCCAGCCCATAGGCCTTTACCACCTGGGAAGGAAAGACCACATTGCAAGGTTTTTCCAGCACGGGGATGATGGGGAACCCCTCAGGTGCTCCTCACCTGGTGAGGAAACACGGGGCTGGACAATCACGTTCTTCCAAAGCCAGGGGCAGGAGATGCAGTTGCACAGCAATCACAGAGATGGCTTGGGGTTATCAAAACAGCTGAAGAACACATGAACAAACACTCCAGCCTTGCCAAGCCAAACTCCCCAGAGCTGTGCTTGGCCAGGCCCTCTCCCAGCTGAACGCCTTCAGCAGGGCCCTGGGTATCAGCTGGAGGCCAGAGGGGCAGCCAGAGCAGAGCGAGGTGGCCTTGCAGGCTGTGTCCTCACGGGGGCCCTGCCATGGCCTTTCCTCTCTTGTCCTTGGGCTCTTGTTCCTGTTTGTGCCACAGGAGCAGGGGGTTGGGGCTCCTCTGGGACCTCGTTATTCCCCCCGGCTCTTGCTTTGCCCACTTGTATGGGATGGCACCAACATCCCCTTTGCTTCACTGTCTTCAGTGCCCCAGGATGAGGGTCTCAGTGTCCCAGGATGAGGGTCTCAGTGCCCCAGGATGAGGGTCTCAGTGTCCCAGGATGAGGGTCTCAGTGTCCCAGGATGAGGGTCTCAGTGTCCTGGGATAAGGGTCTCAGTGCCCCAGGATGAGGATCCCAGTATCCCAGGATAAGGGTCTCAGTATCCCGGGATAAGGGTCTCATGCACATTCAGCTGTAACTGTAAGAATCCAAAAGGGAGAAGGAGAAGATTTGTGCTGTTTGGAGAACAAAATCCTCTCCTGACCTGGGCAGGGAGACAGAAATGGTATTTTTTTGTGAGGCTTGACCTTCGAGAGGTTGTACAGGCTCAAAGGCCCAGAGGACTGAACTCTTTCCGTCTCCAGACATGTCCAAATGAACCAATCCACGTTGCCAACTTACGGGCTGTTCAGTTACTCTTAGAAGTGCAAAGCACTGAAAAATTGAAGGAATTTCTTTTTTTTTTCCCTCTTGGCCTGTGATAGAAAACACTTGATCTGTTTACAGAAGTCAGTTTGCGTGTACGTGTCCACATATGTTATGAGAAGGAATGCAAACGTATGGAAAACAGCCATCCCTCATTTCCAAGCCTGTAATCTCCAGAGTTTCCAGTGATACTGGCTGAGAAGTTGTGTTTGGATGCTTAGCTGAACCAAATGTGTTGGATGGATTATCCTGATGTTTCGTGCCAATGCAAATGAGAGAAACTCCACTGGAACCCACGATGTTCCACCAGAGCAGGGAATGCTCCAGCAGGTACATTTTGGATCAGATATCTGAAGTTTCTCAGCATCCACTGGGTTTGGATTCAGGGCTTTGGTTCAAAAGGAGGTCTCTTGACAAGTGAGTGCTGCGTGTGTTGGTGCATTGCACACTCTGGGTCAGTGTTTAGTGTATCAAGAGACATGTAAGAAATTATGTTGTCTCCATCTTACTCCAAGGAGCAGCACTCTGAGGAAACCATGCTGATACCCAAGATTTCCTTTCCACAGAGTAGTGCTGTGATGAAGACAAGTTTCCATCCAGTTTTCACAGAATCACAGGATCAGTTAGGTTGGAAAAGACTTCTGAGATCAAGTCCAACCCTTGAGCAAACACTACCTTGTCCCCCAGCCCAGAGCACAGAGTGCCACGTCCAGTATTTCTTTGAACATCTCCAGGGATGGGGACTCCAACGCCTCCCTGGGCAGCCCCTTCCAATGCCTGAACACCCTTTTTCTGAAGAAATTCTTCCTGATGTCCAACCTAAACCTCCCCTGGTGCAGCTTAAGACTGTGTCCTCTCGTCCTGTTGTTGATTGCCTGGGAGAAGAGGCCGACCCCCACCAGGCTATAACCTCCCTCAGGGTGGTTGTAAAGTGTGAGAAGGTCCCCCCTGAGCCTCCTTTGCTCCAGGCTGAGCCCCCCCAGCTCCCTCAGCTGCTCCTGGTGCTCCAGATCCTTTGCCAGCTCTGTTCCCTTCCCTGGATCACGCTCCAGCCCCTCAATGTCTTTCCTGAGTTGTGGGGCTCACTGAGGGGCACACTGCAGCCACTTTCCATCCACTTTTCATCATTTTTCATCATTTTCATCACTTTTCATCATTTTCATCACTTTCATCGTTTCTGTCCTGCCCGAGAACAGGAATTTCAGGCTGGGCAGAGAGATGGATGCTGTACAGACACTCCCCAGCTCTGCTGGTCAGTCCCAGCTCTCGGAGCCATCCCCTCTCTACCTCCCTACTGGGGCCTGTGGGGGCACAGCCACGTCTGACCCCAGTCCTGCTGTGCTCCCAACACACTCCTCACGTGTCATTCCAGGCTTCCACATGTGCTCTGTGCTTCTGTGCACACAAAGCTGATTCCTAAAGCACGAAGGCTCTTTAGCAAGAGTTTCCCCGGGGTGTTGTAGGCCACCAAAAATAAAAGCTCTGTGGCCCAGGAGGAGGCAGAGGCAGAGCTCTACACCCACCACTGCTCTGGGCTGGGACACAAACTGCTCCAGCCCCATCTCTCCTGCCAGAGGCACATGCTCTTCATTAAGGGCCACATTGCATGACTTGGGCTTTGCAGAGGAAAATAAAACCAGTGAGCTCATCTGAGCAGGAAAAACACAAGTGAGAGGCATTGCTGTAAATATTTATATCTTCAGGACCTTTAATGTGACTGTCATTTTCCCTTTCTGCATTTAAACAGCCCGGCTGTTGTCGTTGGGGGCTGTGTCTCTTTCTGAGGGGTGATTTTGGAGCCCAGACATGTCCCCCCTGTGCCTGGGCAGCCTCTGCCCCAACAGCCCATCCTGGAGCTGGGGACACTCTGGTACCTCCGGAGCACAGCCCCTGACGCATCTGCCTCGTGGGCTGGTGTGTGCAGGAGGAGCTGCCCCGTCCACATGGACATAAAACGCAGGAACAGATCCCCCCGGGGCACTGCCGTGCCTGGCGGGGCTGGGCGGGCAGGGGCTGTGCTCTGGGGTCCCGTGGGAGGGAGAGGGGCCTGACGTGCCTGTGTGCGACTGTTCCCGCTGGAAGGGCCTCTGTTGCTCTTGGATGGAGGGCTCTGGGAACAGCCAACTGCCTGCAGAGCCCTGGATGCAAACTTTCTGCATGAAATAATAACCTCACGCCCACATCAACTGAAACGGTTTCTATGGAGAATATCCTGGACCAGTCCACAACCTCATCCTGCTTCTCTATTAGAAACCCTTGGAGAGCCTCAAATATATATATATTTATATTTTTTAAAGCTTACGACAGTGATTTTATTAACCTGATAATGTGAAAAGCATGAATGTGAAGAGCATGAGGTGGCACAGCCTTCTGGAATGAAGAAGAAATAATGGCCTGGGAGACAGGCTGGGGGTTTTCACTGCTTTGCAGTGTCTCCAGGGCATTTTACTTCATCTTGGTTTCACTTTCCAGCCTTTGTTCAGACTGTAAATTATTTGAGGCAGGATTTGTACACATGTGCAGAGTCCAGTAGGAGATGCTGATTTTAGTGTGGTTGTTCAGGTGAAACATCAACTGTTGTGTGTTGCTTAGAGCCACCACTGACTGTGGCAACTCCTGGGATTAGGAGGCTGGAGGATCAAGGATGTAAGGCTCTGAATTTGCTGTTACCTCACTGAAGGAGCAAGGTGATTCTGGAGCTATAACCAGGAATGTCTCCATGGCAGGGCTTTGGGACACCTCCTGCCTCCCCTCCTACTCTCAGTGACAGTGACTCCAGGAGCACCCCCAGCCACCCTGTGATCACACACTTCACAGATGCTCCCAGCAGCATATCCTGTGGTTTTCTCTTTTGCATTTCTTGGTGACATTTGAATTGTGCTAAAGAACAAAGTATAAATTCACTATTCTGTTTCTTTTTGATCTTTGTAGATCATCAAAGAGCCTCCCCCACCTCCAGCAGAAGACAGTGAGGTGAGTAACTCTGCCACCTGATCTGCTCAGTGTTTGGGACAAGGTTTGTTCAGGGTCCCCCCAAAAGGTAGATCTGTGTGTGCAGGACCTCCCCTGAGCAGGCAGTGGAGGAGGACAGGGGCAGACAACACCTCACTGGAACAGCACCAGAGTCGGGCTGTGACTCACAGAAGGGACAACCCTTAAGCCTGTGTTTAACTTTGAAGTTAATGGAACCTAAACATGTGTTTAACTGCCTTCCTGGAATGGCACAGTAATGATTTTGGTGGTTTAGGATATATAACCACTCCTGGCAGCTGATCCCTTGGGCCACCGTTGCTGTGAGTGAAGGCAGCTCGTGGTCCTTGCAATGTGTCTGAAGACAGTGGAGCAGATTCTGAGCAGATGTAAAACCCCACTAAAATCATCTTGATGGCAGAAGAGCTGCACCAGCCAGGGAAGTTTTAATGGAGAATAATCAACAAATGGTAAATCAATATTAAAAATTCCATCTTAATTCTGCCTACGATTTCCAGACGAATCCAGGCACAAATGGTTAAAGCTGTGTCACCATTACTTAATCAGCAGACTGTGCCCAGAAATATGCCCAGTTTTCCATCTGCTCTTTCTCTGTCCTCCTGCTTCCAGCACGCAATGAGTCTCTGCTTTGCTCCTGCTGTTCTCCACATGGGATTTCACTGCAGTCCCTGGGCTCTGTGCAGGGAGCACTGGTGGCCATGGGAGTTTTTCCATTGACTTCACTGGGGTTTGGATCAGTTCCTCTTAGCTATGCAAGCAAAACTGGCCTTAGATCTGTGCTCAGAGTGATTTGGTTGGTTGGTTTGCCTCGTTCTCTGCATCTGGAGACAAATCCATTGCCTGCTTCAGCTTGTGAGTGGAAAAGCTTCCGAAATGGTGCTCTCTGCTCTCCATGCAGTCTGGCCCAGGGAGTGTGGTCTGAGCCAAGGCACACAAATACCCTGAAAGCTCAGTCCTCTCCAGGCCTGTGGGGCTGGAATACTTTTCCCTGCACTGGGCACAGAGGAATCATTCAGGGCAGCACTGGAACCTCCACCTTGGTGGCACTTGCCCCCTTCAAAACAGGCCTGAAGTAAAATTTTAAATCAGATCATTTGTGAAGCCAAGGGGGATTTGCATTTGGCCCCAGTGCTCCCCATGCCTCCCTCTACAGGCATCTGGCCTGTTCTCCTGAGCAGACATTTGTTTGGGCTGTATGAAAATCCACCAGCTTTGTCAGCTTCTGTCCTCTGAATGAACAGGGAAATATTAACCTAAAATTGCACATGGCTTTTTTCTGCATCACACATGCCTCCAAGCCAAGGGATTCAGTTGCTGAAATTAATTAAAATACATCATTCTGGAATGCTGGCTCCCTGGCCAAGGAGTGGAAGGGGAAGTTACATCCCTGTGCTCAGAGGGAAGTCGTGCGTCACCTCAAGGAAGCCTTTTGTCAAAGCAGCAAGTGCTGCAAATGAGAGCAGTTGCTGCAGAATAAACTCATTGCAGCAGAGAGCTTTAAATTCAACTTTTCCAGGCTTTGGTTGTGCCCAGAGAGAGCACTGCCCAGTACCAGAAACACGGCATTAACTAGGACCTGTATTTACCTGCTGCCTCTTTAATGCAAGAGGGGATCTGTACATTCTTTTGGCTGTTCTGCTCTCTGGGATGGCAGGTTTTGGTTACCACAACCCTGGAATATTTGGGTTGGAAGGGACCCTAAAGATAATCTCATTCCAACCTGCCATGGGCAGGGACACCTTCCACTAGCCCAGGTTGCTCCAAGCCTGTCCAACCTGGCCTTGGACACTTCCAGGGCTGGGCCATCCATCCATCCAATGTGCCAACATTGGAGGGGCTGCTCTGATGGTGGAATTTCAGCTGTACTTCCCACCAGAGCACATCCCCTAACTCGGTGCTCAGTTATCCTCAAGCCCATCGAACACATTTAGCAGCCAAAGGATTCTTCCAAAGGAAGATGTAGTTCATCCCATTTTAGAAACTCTTTAGCATCAGAGCAGTGCTCAGAAATCAGTAAGGCTTGAAGCTGGGACTTGTACTGTGTGTTTTTGCCAGACAGAAGAGCTTCCCACTAGTGGAAAAATAGCTGAAGCTCTGAAAAGATGCATTATGTTGGTCCTCTTGGAGACACTGGTCCACAGAATGGGACTGGCAGACATGTGATGCTTTCACAGAAGGTTGGAGGCTCCAGATTTTCTACTTTGCTCAAAACAAATGGAAGATGGAGTTGGTTTTCTACAATCCAGTTTTCCTCAGGTGATGCAGATGTCCTCTCTCCCTGCAGGGAACCAGCAACTGCTCCTCTCCAGCATGACAGAGGGGTAATCCCTCCAGCAGCAGGGTTACAGGTCCATTGCTTTTCTTCTCCCAAAAGTCTTGGCCAAACAAAAAGACAAGAAGAATTCTTGCATCAGCAGATTTGTTAGCTGAGGCCCACAGGAGGCAAGGAGAATGCATTATCCTGTGACAATGAGGGGAAAGTCGTGCTGCTGTCAGACCAGCCAAGGTTTTACTGAACTCCCTTTTAAAGGCCTTTGGAGACATATTGGAGACACGCTTGCTATTGGTGAAGGAAATCATTATTGGCTACAAACTTCCAATTAATTCATTCAGAAATTGCAAATGTCATCAGCTCACCCCTGAGCTGCTCAGACAGCACGGGATGCTGAGGAGGTGGGGCCCAGAGCAGGACAGATGGTTTCACTTACAGCCAGGAAGGACTGAGTTAATGCCAAGCGGAAGAGGGGAATGGCTGAGGAGCCAGAGAGCACCTTTCTGGCCTGGGATTAGTCACTGAAGGTGGATCAAAACCACATTCTTCTACTTCCAGTGAATAGGAAGGCTTTTTCTAGCCCTGCTGGAGGAAGACACAGCCGCTTTTACTCATGTGTCCCATCACCTTTAGGCTGAGCTTATTGGAACAACTCTTGCTCAGCTCAGCCAGGAAGTTTACCACAGGGCCAAAACTGTTTCTACTACAGCAACACATCTTCTGCATCAAAAAATCCCAACTTGCAGATCTCTGCAGCTTCCAACAGTTCCCTATTCACTACCTGGCCCACAGAAGGATAGACTGACTGCAGGCAGTGCATAAACTGGAGCCCTCCCAAGCATCCCCAGGAGACACCCACTGTCCTCACTGCTGCCCTGCCCTGTGAACAGAGGCTAAACCACACTGCTGGGCCTGTCCTGGCAGCACTGGTTCCCACAGCAGGGATCAGGGACACAAAGCTCCCTGGCAAAGCCAAGGCAGGGTGTCCAGGTGACCAGAACTTCCCTTTCCTCACCTCTCAGACCCGTTTTTTCCCGTGTGCTCTGTCACCCAAGCTCCACAGTGCCCCGGAGTGTGGCACCAGAGCCAAGCCACCAACCAGCCTGTAATTGGATAATTCTTATGTCTGTTGTCCTCTTACCCACATACAGCAGAGCAAACACACACAAGAAAGTCCTGGAGAGACAGGGCCGTTGTCACTGTGCTGGGAGGCAGCTTGGGAAGGAGGGATTTAACTTACTGTTGTTCAGCCAAGGGATAAAACCCCCTGTTCAGCTCAATCCACTTTGATTGCTGTGAACTAATTTCTCCCACAACATTCATGAGGCCAGAGAATGACTAAAAGAGATTCATCTGCCTGGGGAGGTGCTTGAACCCTGGTTTGGTTGGAAGGGACCTTAAAGACCATCTCACTCCACCCCTCTGCCCATGGGCAGGAGCACCTTCCACTGGACCAGATTGCTCAATTATTGCTGTTCATTATTCTTTTCTAAACTGTTTTCCTCTCTTTTCCTGGAAAGCCTTGCTGGGGGGGTAGCAAAGCAAGCTCCAGAGAAAGGATCTGCTAGGAATTTTTTTGTAGGCATCAAGGCAGGAAATTTATTCTGCTGTTCCTGAAATAAAGCCAGGCCCCAGTGGTGTGCCAGTGCTTTTCCTTCCCTGTACTCCCCTTTTACAGCGAGTTATGGAAATATGGGTGGAGGAGAAAAAGAACCTTTCAAGAGACAGGCATTTAAAAGAAAAAATGGGGGTGCTATTGGCAGCAGCTGAGGTGCAGGTATTGCACCATGAAGATGTGGAGTTTTATGGCCAAATTTCAGATGAAATATCCAGGCAGGCCCAGCACAGTGCCCAGGCTGTGGAAGTTGGGATAAATCACATCACAGTGCAATGGGAGCACTGGTGGTAATTCCCTTCACCTTATCAGACCTTATTTCATCCTCCTGTAGCTCAGGGTCTGAGCTCTGGAGTGGGAGCAGCTCAAAACAGGGCTTCCTCTGGTCTGTGCACACACTGTGCACTAGAGGACATCACTTCAGGCAGGACCCCTGAGGATCTGTGCACAGACAAACGGGCAGTTTCTGTGCTCAGCAAGGCCAGCAAAGGTGCTTTGCTCAACATTTGTGTCCCGAGGATGAGCTGATATCAAGTTGAAGTTGGGGCTGTTCAGGCTGGAGAAGGCTCTGGGGAGACCTCAGAGGCTCTTCCAGGGCCTAAAAGGGTTCCAAGAGCTGGAGAGGGACTTAGGACAAGGGTTGGAGTGCCAGGACAAGGGGGACTGGCTTCCCACTGCCAGAGGCAGGGTTAGATGGGATATTGGGAGGAAATTTTTCCCCACAAGGGTGGGGAGGCCCTGGCACAGGTTGCCCAGAGAAGCTGTGGCTGCCCCTGGATCCCTGGAAGTGTCCAAGGCCAGGTTGGACGGGGCTTGGAGCAACCTGGGCTAGTGGAAGGTGTCCCTGCCCATGGGCAGGGGGTGGCACTGGATGGGCTTTAAGGTCCCCTCCCAACCCAAACCATTCTGGGATTGTGTGTGTGTTTTGGTGCCTCATGGGGTCTTTCTTCAGCTGCTCCTTGGCAGAGCACCAGGAGAACGTTTCCTCTGAGATGATCTGGGACCCGTGAGCACTCTCTGACAGAGGTTTGGGCCAGTGACAGGCAAAGAGACAAGAGAACCCAAAGTGATGAGTTTATGCAGCTGCAATTCAGATGCCTGGCAGGGAATAATGTACCAAGTAAAACCTTCCAGAGCAGGAGGAAAAGTCCCCTGAGAACAGAGCAAGGTGTCCTCAAAGTGTAACAAAGCCTCTGCAGCTGAGAGGTGGCCATGGGATTTGGAAATGAGTCCAGCACTGGGAGAAGGAGGCAGAAAGGAGCCTTGAGGACAATGGATTCACCTCCTTGTTCTCTCAGCTGTAAAACTCAATGATAGCATCTCTTATTCAGAGGAATGATTGTCCTGTCATATCTCAGCCCTTGGTGCAGGCAGAGCTCTCTATAAATGCTGAATTCTGACAAAATTCAGGCACTGCAGAGACAACTGGGAAAATAATTATAAGGGTGGGGAGAGGGGTAAGTTGTCCAAGCGGGTTTTTTTTTTATATCTAGCCAAATTTAGTTTGAATTCTTACCCTGAGTGGTTCAGATGTCCCTTGTGGAGCCTGAATTATCCTTGTGTTACCCACAGATGAGGTTCCCTCAGGTCGGGGTCAGAGTATCCAGAGCCTGGCCTGGCCTCTGAGATAAACAGAGATCTTTGTTTTCTGCAGTCCAGCAGTGATGAATCTGGATCTCTGACTGTGAAATGCAGCTCTGTCCTGTTCCTTCTGATTTTGTAAGAGAAACTCTAGCTCCATCTAAAGCAGATTTTGGGTGTGGAAAGTTGCCGAGTTCTGTACAGTCGTTTTCCAGCATCCTTAAATGCACTTGGATTTTCCAGGGCCGTTTTTTGTGCTGCAGCTGGGTCAGAGCTGGAGCTGCTGCTGCAGTTCTGCCTCAGGTGCAAACCCTGTGTAACCACAGGTAGAAAAATGCAGGTGAACCAGAGCCGGGAAGGGAGAATTCAGCCCTGGTCAGCCCTTGGGAACAGGGCACTGGGCTGGGGTGCTGGGCAGGGGGATCGCCTCCCTCCTGCTCCCCATTTCTCTGCTCTTCCCTCCCCTGACCCCCCATTTCCAGTTGCTTTCCTTCACATTGACCAAGTGTGCAGGACAGCACTGCTGGGGTGCGTTGTTTTGGTTTTTTTTTTTTTTGCTTGTATTGCAAAACCTCCCATGCCCTTGCAAACATGTAAACAGACTCATTCTGCAGAAAACTTGTGACTCCTTTGTTTTTCAAGTGGCCGCTGATGTCTCTCTGTGCCTCGCTCTGTTCTGGCTCCTCTCTCACACTGAAGGGACTTGCAGGGCTTTTAAGGGCTTGTGGGGAAGATTTCCTAAACTCTGGTATTTCCTGTTGTGAGAAGTCCAGTCTGTGCTAAACTGAAGAGAGAGAAAGAGAATTGCTGAAGGAAAATATTTAGATGGCTTTGCTTCAATTATATTTTTTTTTTTAAAAAGTCCTCCTGGAAAACTTCATGCAGAGATATTAAGTTCTTGGGTTGCAGCAAAGAGCCTCAGCAGCTCTGCCCAGAGTGAGAGAAAGAGATCAGCTACACAGAGTGAAGACCTTCACTCTTCCTTTAGATCAGGACAAATTTTGCAGCCCAATTTACGTGTACTTTGATAAACAGAAATGCTTCTGCTTACCATGAAAAGCGCAGTTTGTCTTGGATTTTTTCCCCCCAGTTTTTCAGTTTTCCTGCTGGGGAGTTTCAATTTCAAAGTATTTTTGGCTTTTCCCGTCTTGGAAAGCTCCTCAGTTTTGGAGTTTTGCCAAATCCCTGTGAAAAATTAAAAAAAGGAAAAGAAAAAAGAGAGAGGGACCATTTTTCTTTTCTCTCCACATTTTTCACAGGAAATACTTCACGTTTTTGATGAACTCTGCTTTTCTGCTTTGCCAGTTCACAGCCTGAGCTGTAGAAATTAAAGGGAAAGGCACTATCAGAGCTCCACTTACACTCTGCCCTATATATAGTGCAACAGAGAATACAGAGTATTAAATACACTCACTAAAGCTTTAGCAGACTCTTTTTAAATAAACTTAAGGAGGTTTTCTGGAGCTGTTAATTTGCCCATATCCGAATGTCATCACAAGACCAGGGTGCTGAGCAGGTGGGGGAGGTGCCTGCAGTGTGTAAGGGCAGAACAGAGAATTTCAGCCTCGTGTTGTCACACAGGGCCTGACTTTCCTTTGGCATAAGCCACAGGACTCCCTGAGGCCACACGGACTTCCATGAGCAGCCTCTCCAGCTGAGGCACAAGTTCACTATAGGAGCTAATTCCATTCTTGTGGCTTTTCCATCCCATTACTCTTGGCCAGCTCATCCCAGTAAACCTCATCTCCATGCTGGGCATTCCTGCTGGGGTTGTTCCCAAAGGCACCCCCAGTCTGCCATCACTCAGGAGCAAATGGCCTTGCTGTCTTGGTCTTTCCCCCCCACTCTGTCAGCTCTGAACTCCAAAATGATGATTTATCTGGGCCCTGGAGGGTTCCTGCAGCACAGGGAGCCCCGAGCAGCAGCAGCTGGGCCTCCCCTCTCATAGGCAGAAATGATGGCAGAAGTGAGTCCCTGCACATCACCCAGCCCTGCAGCCACAACACCCCAGCTCCTGAGCTCTGCTGACTGTTAATTTGGTGGCTTTTTCAATGATTTTGCAACTTGGAAACAATTTACTTCCGTGAATTTAAACATGATGAAAGACAGTCTCCTGAAAAAAACAACACAAAAAGACTAAAATCTCGTTCTTGCTGGAGCTGGTCTGTACCTTTCAAGTGGTGGTGGTGTTTATATCATGAAACATTTTCTTTTCATGAGTGTACATCCTCTGGAAAATTAAGAGGGAGAGACCAGAACCTTGCCTGCCCTGGCTCCAGCAGGCTCAACACAACCTGGGACTGTTTATTCCTTTCCATCCATGGTCATTCTTCCTCACAATGCCACCCCTTCCCTTTGTTTTGTAGGAAGAAGATGATGATGGCCTTCCAAAGAAGAAATGGCCAACGGTAGATGCCTCTTACTATGGTGGACGAGGAGTTGGAGGCATCAAACGGATGGAGGTAATTAAATCCCAGGGCATGAACCAGAACTGATCTGGGGACTGAGCTGTGATTCCCTCTGCAATTTACCCAGGAAGAAACTCAGGGGATAAGCACAAACTTCTTTAAGCTTTTTTGGTACCTCTGAGCCCAAGTTGATTTTTGTATAGGAATATTTGAGAGCCAACCATAGATTCCTGAAGTATGGGATCATCTTTTTTCTGCACTAAAGCAAGATCCTCCTCCATGCCTGGGACACAGGGGCAGTGTTGCCATACACAGTACAGGGAGATGGGTTTAGTTTCTCTGAAAATCTTCCCCACTCTCACATTCCTGATCAATCACAATGAAGGAGGAGTTCACAGTTTGGGGTGTAGTCCAGAAACAAGCTGCAGAGCCTGTGCATTGCTGTTCCCCTGGCTCTGGACCCTGGGGAGTGCAGAGCAGGACCTGCCCGTCCCAGCAGGGAGGTGACTGTGCAGCAGGTCCTGCTCTAACCTGTGCTGGCCCCCGTTCCAGGTGCGCTGGGGAGAAAAGGGCTCCACGGAGGAAGGGGCCAAGCTGGAGAAGGCCAAGAACGCGCGGGTGAAGATGCCGGAGCAGGAGTACGAGTTCCCCGAGCCCCGCAGCCTGGCCAGCAGCATGCGCAGGCCCTCCTCCCCACGCAGGTGGTACTCGCCCATCAAGGTACGTCCAGCCCGGGGCTGTGCTGCTGGGGGGCTTCCAGGAGATCCCTGCTGAGGGTTCACACCCAGGGCCGGGATCACAAACCTGAGGCCTCCAGGTGCTGCTGGAGGAGCTGTGCCCAAGAGAGTCACCTGATGTGCTGTGGAAAGCAGCCACGTGGGGCAGTGGGGATTTCCCACCTGGATGAGCAGGTTTTGGGGTTGCTTTTCTTTCTTAGGCCAGAACAGGACCCTGATCTCCTCCGGTGTTGTAGCAGCTTCTGGGAAGTGCTTTCAAACTCGACTGCACTCCTAAGGGTCCACACTGCACATTCCCTGAGATGTAGGGAATCAATAGCATCCTCTTCAGAGATGATTAAGGAACTGTCCTCTGATGAGGACAGACTGCAGGAGCTAGGCCTAGTTAGTCTGGAGAAGACTGAGAGGGGATCTCATCAGTGCATATAAATATCTCAAAAGGGTGTCAAGAGGATGGTGTCAGACTTTTCAGTGGTGCCCAGTGACAGGATGAGGAGCAATGGCCATAAACTAAACAACAAGAAGTTCCATCCCAACATGAGGAAGAACTTCTTTCCTCGGAGGTGGCAGAGCCCTGGAACAGCTGCCCAGGGAGGGCGTGGAATCCCCTCTCTGGAGACATTCCAAACCCACCTGGATGTGTTCCTGTGTCACCTGCTCCAGGTGACCCTGCCTGGGCAGGGAAGTTGGACTGGATGATTTCCAGAGGTCTCTTTCAACCCCAACAATTCCATGATTCTGTAATCCTCTCCTTAGAAAGAGGGGGAAAATAGGAAGCAAATTGCTGTTGAATGTCCCCAGGGAGGACTGTCCTCAGCAGACCAAGGGCTGCAGCCCAGCAGATGGGTGTGTGCCAGCAGACAGGGCTCACAGGGCAGCACACTCACCTCAGGACAAGGACTGGGATGAATTAGAGCCTCGGAGGGGGAAGGTCAAATTCCCCCCAGTGCCAGGTCACATCAGTGCAAACCTGCCCAGCAGGGATCCCAGGAATGGGGGGACTCCCCTTCCCTGCCATCTGTCCCCAGGACAGGCAGCTGTTCCCCAGCTTGTCCTCACTGACACAAACGGTTGGCAGTGAACAGAACAGAGCAACTGAGAGCTGAGCTGGAGCAGAGCTCTTCCTTGCACATGGGAATGCTGCTTGTGGGGAACAAACCACACAAACAGGTATTAACTGCGCCATCCAGGAGTGCTGTGGGGGCACTGCAATGTCAAAGAGCTGATGTCTTGCATCCAGGACTAATTCAGCTGTCCTCAGGAAAGGAGAGCAGCTTAACAACTGTGTGACTGCTCTAATGAAAAGGGGAAAATAATCTCAGGTTTATCTCTTTTGGGAAATGCTGATGCCCTTCTCGTCTCTTCAGTCTGGGGTTTTTGGAGCAGCACTGTAGTTATCAGGCTCAGAAAAGACTGAAAACACCCAATTCATATCCAAGTGCAAACCTTGTACCACAAGAACTTGGGTTTGAAGAGCTGAGGTGCTGGTTTAGGGTCTTAGAAACCCTCTATGGGCCATTTACCTGCAAAGGGGGTGTGTGTAACACATAAGGAACATTGCAGCGCATAGAGCTCATCTTAAACTTGATTAAAAAACTTAAGGCAGTGAGATGTCCTGCGCTGCAGTACACCCGGGGTTCCCTGCTTTGGATCTTGTTCCTGCTCAGCTCCAGGCAGTGCCCACAGGAATTTGGGCAAGTCACATGTTTTGGCTTTCCTTGGCCATTGATCTTGCAGCTGGTTCAGATCCAGTGGTGGGAATGCCCAGGATGCACAGGGGAGTCATCTGAGAGCAGAGCCTTGCAGTTGTGTTGTAATGACTTCACCGTGTGTCCATGAAGGTTGTTCATCCCACACTGGGACAGGTTGGAGTCAGTCCTGTGAGCTCGGGGTGGGGAGTGGAGCACACCCAGTCCCACAGAGCTGCTCCTTTGTTCCTCAGTGCACTGCTTTGTCCTTTTGCATCAGTGCATTTGTAAAACACACCAGCTCCATCTGGGAGATCCCCCCCGTGTGCTCCTGGAAGTGACCTCACTCAGCAGACAGACACAGTGGGGCTGGTTTTTGCCACTGAGCTGACAAGCACTGATTTAACTCCAAGAGCCCTGAATTCCTGCTCGGGCAGCTGGAACCCATGTGGGCACAACTCCCTGAGATAACCCACTGAGAGCTGGGGCCTTTCCCACACCAGGTGCTGCTGAGTTTCTCCCCTTTCCCAATTCAAGCTGTTGAATTACAGGAGACCTTCAGTGATTTTTCAGGGTTTATTCTGCATGGTGGGAAATCAGTTCTGAAAAGAGGAGTCAGATTTGTTGCAGATTTGTGTCCCAGCTGGAAGTTCTCCAAAGTTCAAGAGAGTCTTGGAGGAAAGATTCAATGTACGTAGGGCTCAGGTTCAGTTCTGACTCTGGAACAGCTTTTGCTTCATAACAACAAGGATTCAGTTATAAGGGGGCCTACAAATATTAAGAGTATCTCATGGGTGATATATATTCTTAATTCCTTTAGAAATATCTCTCTTATCTACCATTCCAAGTGCATACAGGAAAAGGACAGTTCCAATCCAAGGCCTGATATCCAAACACTCCCAAAACTTTGGGGTGTTCCACATCTGGATAGTATGTAGTATTAGTATTTAGCCTGGAGAAGAATTTACCTAATAATTAATTGGCACCACTCCCCTGATTGAGCCACACCCAAAAGGACAGTGTATGGAGGCAGGATAACTGCATCCAGCACTTTCTCCACGTACAATCATGAGCGCTCATCAAAACCAGGAAGAACCAGGAATTCCTATGGAGCAGGATCCTGCTGTCCTACAGGGAATTGGCAGAACTGGCCAAATTCCTCAGCACTGTTGGCAGAAGCTCTTGTCCTGGGAGCACCTGGAGATGAATTTGGCATTACTCAGGGAAGCTTTCATGGAGCCATGGCAGGGGAGGCCAGGAGAGAGAACCTGGGAGCTCCCCAGGGCTGGACCTCCCCAGGGCAGCACTGCTGGAGTGGATCCATCCTTCTCTGCTTCGTCCAGTCTGGGTTTGAAGTAACACAGAGGCTTCCACCACTTCTGGGGGGGATATTCATAGACTCCCAGACCTCACCCCCAGGAAATGGCTCCTGACACTCAGCCTGAATGTTCCTTCATCCCCCTGATCCAAGTGCACTTGGCTCCTCTGGTTAAAGGAGATGTTGAATTTCCACCCCCTCCACCAGGCTAGTGGAAAAACCTCTCTGGGAGTGAGATAAATATGCATGTAACAAGCTGCTTAAAAAATCCTTGGTAAAGGAGAAGGGCGATGAATTAAACCTCGGGAACAGCAAAACAAGGTCTCTTGAATCTGACACAGAGCCAGGAAATTCACATTTTAGGGCCAGTCATCTTGTTGGCCACAGGCCTCCTCCATGCTGCACAAGTACCAGCCTGTACTTGGAGTGTTCAGCCCTTTGGAGTTTATGTGATGGAGTTCTTCTTCCCTCTGTTTTTTAATCTTCCCAGAGTCATGTCTATAAACAGGTAGACAGCTGAGAGTGGATTAGATTCCCTTTTGAAATGCTCCAGAGATTTATTTGCTACCAAATGTGGCTACTGATACTTAAGGGACTGTGGTTATGGTTATTGCTATCCTGATTTGCTGCTGTGACTCCTTAGCATGGTGCCAGCTGGATTATCCCACTTTTAAAATGTCATTTCAGCTGTTTGAAAAGTCAGTGCAGATAATCCAAGGAGAATGACAAATCTAAAAACTTCTTAAGCAACTCACCAAATCCCCGGTTCATCTGACAGGGAGGGACAGCACAAAACGTGGATGGAAGCGAATCAGAGAATCGGAATTGCTAAGGTTGGAAAAGACCTCTAAGGTCCTCAAGTCCAACCACAATGCAGCACCACCACCATGTTCACCTCTAACTCATGTCCTCAAGTGCCACATCCACGTGTTTTTTGAACACTTCCAGGGATGGTAACTCCCCCACTGCCCAGGGCAGCCTGTGCCAAGGCTAAACAACTCCTTCTGTGAAGAAATCTTTCCCAATGTCCAATCTAAAACTTCCCCTGGCACAACTTGAGGCCATTTCCTCCCATCCTGTCACTTGTTACCTGGAACAAGAGACTGACCCCCACTTCACTACAACCTAAGTTTGAAGCAACAAATGTTGGTCTCAAAAAGAAACCCCAGTGAATCCTCCGTGGGGCCACTCCTGCCCCAACTGATCCACGTGTCCCTGGAACGTTCTCCAGCCTTTGTCCCTCCTGTCCCTCTTCACAAAGCTGACATGACCTTGCTGGAAGAGGCCCAAATGCAGCTTGGATTTACAGACAGGTTACAAAACTGCCTCTGACTGACACCACCAGGTCTCAGAGCACTGTGGGATCGGGTACCAGGGCCAAAATGGTGCTGAATTAACCACGAATTCAGAGGAAAATGGATTCATGTTAAAGCAAAGCCTGGAACTGTGCCCTCCTTCATTTGTCATCTGCCCTCACTGGTTCTTTTTTCTGGGCTTCAGATCTAAAAGGACTCAAGGCTTTATTTGCCTCCAGACCTTTCTTTTTTCTCCAAGTGACCTTGTGCTTCAGCTGCAGAGGAGTTCCCAAACACAGGCCCAGCCCGTCCGCTGGAGAGCACAGAAGGGCTTATATTTCCACATGGATGCATTGCCATTTCATTTCTTCAACCAACATCATCCTTTCCATATGCACACTCCCTCCCTTCCACCCAGATGTCTCAGGCAGACCCTGAGGCTCCATTCAGACTCCCAAAGATGGAGCTCTTGGCTTTTCCCAAGAAATCCTGGTACGTTCTTGGAAATTAGGACTGAAGAGTAAAAAGGACTTTTTTTGTTCCATGGAAAATTGTCATTTTGCCTCTGGTTTCCTAAAGGAAAAATGGAAGAAAAAGGTACTTAATTCTGAAGTTGTCAGAGTGGACAGGAGATCAAGAGCTTCCACCAGCTCTGCTGTAGGAGGAAAGATGGATTGGGATAGAAGGGATGGCTTCCCTCAGGTCTGAGGGGTTCTGCTGTCCAAATGCAGAAGAATCTGACAGAGAAGTTTCTTGCTTCTTCCTTTGAGAATAACAGACTTTCCTGGCTCTCACCTTGGGAAGTCTTTTCCCAGTATCCTATGGAAACGAGTTCTATGCATTCTGTGTGTCTGTCTGTCTCCACCCATGTCTCCAACTCCCAAATAAGCTTTGAACCATTGGCTCCATGCACTGGTTGAGGAATAGAGGTCTCAGAGAGGATTATGGCCCTGATGGTTCCTAGAAAAGGGAAGGGAAAGATTCTCCCCATGAAGGGGGGAGAGCACACATGGAGTGCACTGAGTGTTTGGATACCAGGGAACCAAAGTCACTGAGGACCTTCCAAACACCCAGCTCTTGCCTTCCCAGGCACTGCAGTTCACTGCCCAGACCCAGGCTCTTCAGAAAACAAGCTGCCTTGCTCTTAATGATGCCACTGACTCTTTCCCCACCACCTCTGGCATGTCCAGCTCACATTTCCATTTGTTAATCCTGTCCTGCAACAGTTACACGAGGCAGTTCTGCTCTCACAAAAGTGTTGTAGGCTTTGTTTCAAGGAACCAGGGAGTGATCAGACAGGAGATTCTGGGTCCAGTCAGGGGTCGGTCTTCAGGTTTGATGTGCTCATCTACAGGAGATAGTTTTGTACCAAAGGACAACTTTGTCCATTCTCAGAATATCCTGTCTCTGGCTCTGCAGGTACAGTAAGTGCACTGAATGTTACTGGTGGGGGGTTTGCTCATGGTTTAATATCACAGCACATGGAGCATTTGGAACAATACTTGTGGAAACATTAATAAATGCTGTTTGTTCTTAACCCTCTCCAGAAATTTTTACAAATCTTTGGGTGTTGTGCACCTAACAGACAGAGGGCCAAATGGCAAAGTTAATGGCAGTAGAGTTTGATCAAATAATCTTGAGCTCGTAACATGTCTGTAGCCTTCCACGGAGCCAGCCAAGGTGCTGCACTCCTGTAAACCCTCCTGCAGGTCTTCCAGGAGCTGAGTCCACTGTGCCAGTGACACCCCGGCCTGTTGCAGTGGGGATATAGCAGGAGTCCCTCAGCAGCAGACGTGCATTTCAGAGCAGATGATTTGGGGGATATTTCTCCTGTGGCCTCGCTGAGCTCGTTTGCAGAGTAACTGCAGGCTTGGCGTGTGCTGTGGCTCTGAGCTCCTGTCAGGGCTGAACGCTGGGCCTGCAGGGCAGGAGGCAGCTCAGGAGGGGCAGGGACCACACAAATCAACCAGACTCTCTGTCAGCGAGACCTTTCAACACGCTGGGGGTTCAGCACTGCCCGTCTGAGCCGTGCATGTGCACCCGTGTGGGGAGGGGCTGCGGGGTGTGGGACCACCCGGGAGGGAGCAGCTCCTCAGAACTGGGGTGCTGGGGCAGCCTCTGAGCTCCTGGGGCTGGAGGGCTTTGACAGACAGGTGTTGCTGACTGGAAAAGCTGCAGATCTGAGCTGGCACACGGGGTGGGCCGGGGGAGCCTGGTGGGAGCTGGAGACGTGACTGCCTTGCTGGGTGGCAGGAGGGACTGAGCGGCCACCACACAGCACCCAGCTGGGCTCAGCTGCCCTGGCACTGGGGAGGGACGGGCTCTCACTCAGCTCTCCCCAGCAGGTTGTTTTGAGACATAAATCAAAATGATTTTTAACATGTCATGATGGTCACCCAGACCTAGAGACAAGCTCTCAGCCAGGGGAGGAGGCACAGTTGGAAAGGTGCCGTATGAATTCCCCTGCATTGCTTTGGCATTTTGCTGGTGATGGTGTCAGGAGCTGAGTAGGTGTTAGTCTCTCTCTCAGCCCAGGTGGTATCTGAGTCACTTTGGAAAGATTGGGTACATGGATACTGTTGTCTGGCAGACACCTGAAAGCTCCTCTGCACTTGCAGCAAGTGTCCGTGAGAGAAAACATTGCTCTTCAGCATCTTCTATGGGCACTGGAAACGACTGAGTAAACCCTGTGTGGGTCCCAGCTGCGTTGTCCCTGCCCTGCACTTTGCACAGAGCATAACAAACACCCTGTTTCTCTTGGTTCCAGGGGAAGCTGGACGCTCTCTGGGTCTTGCTGCGGAAAGGATACGACCGCGTGTCCGTGATGCGCCCTCAGCCAGGAGACAAGGTACTGTGCTCAGAACATCTCCTCACAGCAGGGAGAAGTGACATCCCTCTGAGGCTCCTGACTGCCTTGGCACCTGGGACTGAGGGCAGACACTGAGCCCAGCTCAGAAACAACCAGTCAGGTCTGTCAGCGCCGTGTGTGGCTGCAGCTCGGGCGGTTTGGCCGATGCAGTGCCAGGATGAGCTGTCCCGGGGCAGGGGCAGGAATACCCACCCAAGAGCCCAGCACAGTCCTGCCCTGGGGCACAGAGCTGCTCTGTCAGCCACAGAAGGAATTCTGATGAATAGGAAGGGATATTCCAACGTATTTTGATATGACTCAAGGAAACAGCGTGAAGCTGTCAGGGCAGGCTCAGGTTGGATCTCAGGGAAAGGTTCTTCCCCCAGAGACTGGTTGGGCACTGAGGGCAGTGGGCACAGCCCCAAGGCTGCCAGAGCTCCAGGAGGGTTTGGACAATGCTCTCAGTGACAGGGTGGGATTGTTTGGGTGTCTGTGCAGGGCCAGGGGTTGGATCAATAATCCTTGTGGGTCCTTTCCAACTCAGGATATTCTATGGTTCTGTGATTTTCCTTCATTAAATTCACCTCATGGTGGAAAATGTCAGTTATGTGAATGTCTTATGCAGTCGGTTCCACACCTTTGACACAAATCAACAACAGGGCTTGGAGTAGCTTCAGGAATAGATTTGTCTCAAAGTGTAACTGCAACATTGTGAAGACTTCAGGAAATTCAACTACACAGGAAACAGTTTTTTGGTGGAGAATCACAGGTCTGTAACATTTGGCTCCCTGTAAGGAGTTTTGTTGAATACAGGCCCAGTGACCCATTGTGAATTAGAAGGTTTAATATTTTATTCCTTCCAGCGGAAGATTTGCTGAAATGCCTTCAGTGATCCTGATTTCTGGGAGAAAAGCTGGTAACATACAGATTGCTGGTGCCTGGCAACAGTCCCTCAGAAATCAGGGTCTGAAGAAAGCCTGTCCTGTGAATAATTTTTTTGACTTAACAAGCTAAAATTATTTGTATGGCAGGTGCCACTTTCATTTCTGCTGGGGAGAATCCACTGGAACAGTTTCCAGCAATTCCTCTTGGTGCAGCTGCCAGGAGGCTCCGTCCCTTTTCGGTGACATGTCCCTTGGACATGTCCCTGTGTCCTGTCACAACAAGCACCAGCAGGATCAGCCCATACAGGTGTTACATGATCCACCCTCGGAGTAAATTAAGCCCTTTATGAGTGAGTTGTGCTATAAGGGGTCTCTGACCTGGTATAATGTGATTTAGTGTGAAAGAGGAACTGGCTGAAAATGCACCCAGGCTTGGAGCTGCTGAAATACCTGTTTCTCTCCAGCTCACTCCTGTGTTTGGGCACTTCCCCGTGTAGATGTGAAGCACTTCCAGACCCTCCTGTAAGGGTAGACTGCTCTTAGAACATCTGTTTTCCTTCCATGAGCCTGAGTGTTTGGCTGCTTTGAACAGCCACTGTGTTACAGAACATCACTTGCAGATTGGTAATTGCAGATTGAAGGGAGCACTTTGTGTTTGTCCCTCTGCAGCAGTGGCAGAACTCCAGGTGATGTCACCCCCCCAGCACCGGCAAAACCAGGCTGAGACCTCACTGTGAGACTCTGCAGTGACTTGCGTTAGTTTACACAGCTGAAATGGCAGAATTAGGTCGGGTTTTCCACTTTCTTATTCAGCAAAAATGTGTGGGTTTTGTTTCCCTATTTCAGATTCAGACTAAGGAGAAGCATCAAGCTTTCAAGCACTGGGTTCAACTGTACCATTTCTGACTCATCTCCCATCTTTCTATAGACATTCCCATCATTTGAATGCTGGTTTAGTCTGTCCTGCCTCGCTTTCTCCTTTGTAGCTGTAGAAATTGATTTTACTGGGCATCAGGAAGGTTGGCTTTGTAACATTTAGAGGCTTCTGTGCCAGGGACCAGGAATGGATGAGGCAATATTGCTGTAAACTGAACTGCTGTAAACTGACTGTGCTTTGGGAGCCAAATTAGTCAAAAAGAAAAGCAAAAGGCTGCAAAAATAGTTGCAAAATCTGCACCTCACAGAATAAGGACACTCTCAGCCCTACTGGATCCCTGCCAAACCCCTTCTGTTCTCCTCTGTGCTACTGTTCTTCTAAGAGAAATTTAAATGCGTGTCCAATCTTAGGATACAAAGGCTGCAGGATTCAGGCTGCTTCAAGGCTTGTGGCTTCTCCCAGGTCAGCAAACATCAAATATTATCTCATAAAACACATCAGTGCTCTGGTGTGACTGGAAATCCAGGGGGAAGGTCAGTGCTGAATTGATGGGAATGGCAGCATGGAAACATCTGCCAGTGCTGACTGCAGCTGCCAGTGCCCTCAGAGCAGAGTCCTGGGGCAGGGAGAGCAGCCTGCCTTCCCAGCAAGGAAAAAATACCAAGGAAAGGAGCAATTCCGCAGCAAATCCTTTTTGAAATGAAACCTGTGTCTGTAGGGCAGTGCTGAAAAAGAAAAGGAGCAAATGTTGCGCTGCAATGATGGGAAATTTCTCTCCATGCAAACAGCTGTGTGGCCAGAACTCCCTGCCTGGGAAGTCAGGGCTGGGGTGAATGGGCTTGGATCCAATCCCCGCCATCAACTGGGAGACTTTCACCAGAATCCCAGTGAGAGGGTCTCTGGATTGCATATAAACACAACCCTTCCTCTGCAGTGGGTGTCTGATAATGTAAGTTTAGTATTGTCTCCACCATTCCCTTCATCCAACCCAGGAAATAGTTCTTGGAGTCTCTCTGACTTGGAACAGCACTCACAGCCACAGCTTTGCTCTCCAAAGTCAAGACCCCTTTTGTGATGGTTCTATGGCCTAGGCACTGGGTTCCTTGGCAGGAACATTTATTTATAGGCCTGGCCAGGTCCCAGGGATGCAGCCAGTGGTGGGTGTGTGATGGTGACAGGTACTGGGGAGGTGTGTTCTGACACAGGCTTGGAGAGCTGGCATGTCACCTCCCCAGCCTGACCTGCACTGGGGCCAACAGGATGGATCCAACAGGTTCAGATGCTCCTGATGCAGGAGGTGCTGAGGGACAGCATGTGGAGGACAGTCACACCCAGGCAGCCCTGCACATGCACACACAGACTCCTGGATGCTCTCCCATCCCTCTGCTCCTGGTGCAGGGTTTGCCAGGGGTAGAGCTGTCAAAGTCATTTTGGCAGTGCTGAGCCCAGATATAAATTCCTGTGTCCTGTCCATGTGATTCCATACAGCTGTGTTGGATCAGGGGCACAACAAGGACAGACTTGGTCCTCACCAGGCTGCCAAACCTTCAGCAGTCTGTGGGCTCTCAGAGGTGCCCACTGGCAGGTTTGGGTTTGATCCTGTTCTGCTGGGAAGCACAGCTAAAGGAATGCTCTCCCCAGCCTGGCAGCGAAGGGGCCATCGAAGCTGCTTCTGACCAGTCCAAGCCAGTGGTGTGTTTGAAAGTGGAGGCACAGATGGTTTGAACTCCAGCCCAGGTGCCCAGTGCAGACCCAGCCCTGCTGCTCTCAGAGGACAGAACCCTTGGAGGTCTAGGACAGGGCAGCTCTAGTTTTCCAGCTTTTCTGCCAGCTCTCCTCTCTCAGGGTGCTGCAGGGCCCAGGTCACCCATCATTGCCATCCCAGCTCCTCTCAGCAATGCTGGGCTCTGGTTTGTCTCCCAGGGCAGTTCCAAACCAGCCCCGTTTCAGTCCGACCATGTGGCCACTCCGGGGAATTCCTGACATGAACTGAACAAACTCCTCAGACTCAGCTCAAAGCAGCAGCCCACTCTGCCAGCTCTGCACAAGCTGCCAGCCATGGACATGACCTGGGAATGAGAGAGCCAGGGACTAGCAAAGCATCCCCCAGGAACCAGCAGCCTCAGATGGAGCCACCGATCAAACACCCACCGCACGGAGCATTCTCAGGTTGGATGAACATCCAAACCCTTGCAGGCAAACTTTATGGCTAGTGAAGAGGAGGTGGAAATTTGCAGACAGGAGCCTTTGACCATATGATATTCCTAAAAGCTACAAGGAGGAGCTGTTTTGATAGCAGTTTGTACCTCCTTCCTTCTCTTCTCTTTCCTGAACAAAGGGAAACAGATTTCAGACTTAGTGTTGTCAAATGGGCTCCTTAATTCACCCACTGATCAAGATAAAAAAGTGAAACCAGATGAAAAATAACTGAAAGGCATCTCTGTTTGCTTTGGAGCCTGGAAAGGAGCTGGACTGAATCCCAGGGTTACATCATTTTCATATATAAGCAATCCCTCGCTATAATCAGTGACTGCAGCCCCTGCCAGCACACGAGCTGAGCTGCTCAGAAGATTCCTTGCATAGAATGAAACACGGATTCCACTTTAAACCCCACACTGAGTAATTGTTGCTGTTTATCTGCTGCAGCCCACACAGCTTCCAGGGATCTGTGATTTGTCAGGAAAGATGTCCCCTGCCCTGAGATTCACATCAGTCTGTAACCAGAGAGTGATGCAAGGGCAGGCACTGAACATTTGCAGTTTATATCCATTGCAGGGGATAATGTGGGGACTGGAGGTTCCAGTCCTCCTCCTCCCTGTGACCTCACAGTCCCTTGTCTTTGCCCCTTGGCTGCTCAGGCCTGAACCTGTGGCTGAAGGTGGAGACCCTGTGGGGCTGTTTCCTCCTCTGACAGGCACAGCGATGGGATCACTGAGCAGGGAGGGCTGGGGCAGGGCTGGATGGTGCTGGAGACAGAGCTGAGACCTCTCCAAGAGCTGCCAGAAGGGAAGGCATCCCTGTCCAGAGCATGACACCAGCCTGAGCCACAGCTCCTGGGAAGCTCCAGCAGTTGGAGAGCCCAAGGTCACACTGCAGCCCCTGTGGGGCCTGGCAGGAGCACACGGGGAGCAAACCTTGGTCTGCTCTGCAGAGGCTTTTAACAAGGCACCTCTTATCCCAGAGCAAAAGGAAAAGAGAGGGATGCTCAGGACCCATTTTGAAGTGCACCCAGAAAGGCT